TTTAAGTAGGTCATTTTCGGCAGAGACTTTGCATCACATGCAATGACAGCCATTGGCTATGAGGTGTTTGTTCACCTCTTTCGTCAGAAGCCCATTTTCAGGGGCTGACCTGGGTAGGTGGAAGCTTGGAGAAAGGCCCAGGCAAGGAGTACATCTGCTTTGAAGAGTGAGAAAACGGTTTGGCTAGATAAGCTCCACATTACAGCAGGATAACTGGGGTCCTGGCAGCAGGGACAGAAGTGTTGGTTCACAAGAAGTGCAGCAGTTACTGAACAGACCAACAACTCCATTCACAGACCCACACTGTGGGGGATAAACCCTCTTCAGCCCCAGGACCTCTCTTGGGGGTAAGACAGGTCTTCTGAGAAGCAACTCTTTAGGTTTTCAGTCTAGGGGAGAGGACTCAGAGGCTGCTCAGAAGCTGCCCAAGGCTCCCTCTGAGTGCTACTGTACATCATTTATCCTATTTCCACTCGTGAAAGCATCACACCAGAGTACACTGAGACGGATAGTCTGCCCATCTACTTATGAAAGGAACAACTAGTGCTGCAGGTAGAGACAGGAGGGATGGGAGGCAGGGCTGGTGCCCAGGGCAATGCTCAGCCCAGCACTGGGTGCCCAGCCAATTCCAGGGATGCAAAGAGCCCTCGTTAATCAAGGGTGGGAACCTGCTCATTCCGGGCACGTTTGCTGTCGCCAGGAGTGAAATACCCCAGGGGTGGAATATCCCAAGCACGGATTTGCTTAGAGTAAGATCCTGAGGCTGCTCGGAGCTGCAGCTGCGACACTGTCACCTCCAGGGCTCGGCTGCCTCACGCTCTCGGGACTGCACTGCACAAGGGAAACGTGCCCGCACACCAGCCCGCACCGCACCGGCTCCAACACACCCCGCCCCGCACCAGCGCCGACCCTGCATCCCGCACCGGTACACCCCGCTCCGCACCGACACCGAAGCTGCCCAAGGCTCCTTCCGAGTGCTACTGCACGTCATTTACCCTGTTTCCACTTGTGAAAGCATCACACCTGCATCCCGCACCGTCTCCAGCACGCCCTGCTCCGCACCGTCACCGCCACCGACCCTGCATCATCCCGCACCGCCACCGAGCCCCCGCACCACGCACCAGTTCCAGCACACCCCGCTCCGCACCGCCACCGACCCTGCGTCCCGCACCCCTCACCGGATGCGGACCAGCCCCACACCGATGCCCTGGCCACGCACCGGCCCCAACACGCACAGCCCGCTCCGCGCCCCTCCCGAGCCCCCCGGCCCTGCTGACCTTGATGACCTGCTCCCTGATGATGAGGGGCCCCACGATCAGCAGGCAGCCCCCCGCGAGGGCGCAGGCCGCCCCGGCCAGCCCCAGCCCCACCGACAGCCTGCGCCGGGACACGGCCATGGCGAGGGGGATGCGGGAGCGGAGCCAGGAGCGGGTCCCGCCGCCGCGGCCCCTTTATGGCCCCGCGGCCCGGCCCGGCCCGGCCCGGCGGAGGAGGCGGGGCCAGCCGGGAGGGGGCGGGGCCCAGCGGGGAAGGGGCGGAGTTAGCCGTGCCAGGCCACGCCCCCTCGCTCCGGCGGCGGGACGGGAGCGGAACCCGGGGATGGTGCGGACGCGAACACGTGTGTGAGCACGGAAAAATAGGAAAATAGGTAAAATAGAGAGAGATATACAGTATGTGCATAGATAAAATATCGTTCAATCATAGAATCGTACATGGGCAGGGACACCTTCCACTAGACCAGCTCAGAGCTTCATGCAACCTGGCCTTGAACACTTCCAGGGATGGGGCATCCACAGCTTCTCTGAGCAGCCTGTTCCAGGGCCTCACCACACTCACAGTAAAGATTTTTTCCTAATATCTGATGTAAGCCTACTCTCTTTCAGTTTGAAGCTGTTCTCCCTTGTCTTGTCACTACATGCTCTTGTAAATAGATAAAAAAATATATAAATATGTACGTGTGTGTTAATGAGTATATATATATGTATAGTATGAGTATATATACATAGTAGTAGCCCAGACTACTCCCATGAAGGTCTGGGTCCCTCCATGACTGCTGTGTTGGCAGGTTGGGGGGCTGCAAGCCTGTTGTCACAGCTGGTGTTGGGTGTCTTGGGAAAGGGGGCATGGCACACAGACAGCCCAGCAATCAAGGAGAACCCAAGGCTCAACCCCAGGCTCTCCCTGAAGAGAAAACATCCATCACCTCTTAACCCACCATGTTTGCCCGAGGAATTGGGTTTTTTGTCTATCTTGTATGTCTAAAGTGTCCCTGAATAAAAGCCTCATTGAAACTCACCCCTAGAAGTGTCTAGAAGCCAGCAGAGACTAAAAAAACAAAGAGTCCGGTTTGTGACAGCCTGTTTGAAAACAAGCCCATTGTCCCAGTTGTCCCTGAGCTAAAGGGACTGGAAACTGGAGTGCACCCAGCTCCCACACACTGTCCTCCATACAACCCACAGCTCCCACCAGGCAGAGGCCAGCACAGCACAGCACTTGACTCTTGCCGTGGTCTTCACCTCGGTGGAACACCTGCATTTGTATCTTTACCCTCAACTGTGTCTTTTTTGTTTTTTCCTTCTAGACCTTTCACCCTGGTAGTTGCCTCTGATTAAATTGCCAGATCAATTAACCGATGTCTCTGATCAGTCCTGGTTGGTCTCCGCAGGTGAGGCAGCAGCGGGCTGTCCCCCTTCTCCCCAGCAGCAACGCCTTCAGACCAGCTGTGTTTTCTTTTACTTTAAAACATTTTGCTACAAAGAAATTCTGTGAAAGGAATTTTTCTTCAAATCCCAATAAAGCCCACTAAAATCCAGGAGATGCCCTGAGGTGCTGCGGAACAATGTGATCGTGAGAAGGTCTCTCAGAACAGCACGTTCCCGGAGAATGTTTTTGGGCACGCCATGGTTAGAACAAAAAACATCCTTAACGTTTATTAAGTATTTAGCTGTTCTCATCAAATTTAGCTGTTCTGTGGTTAATCCCACTCCAGATGTGCTCTCTGATCAGGGGTGCCGCCTCTGAAGCATTGGCACTGCCACAACCTTGAAGTTCCTCAAACCAAGCAAAGCGACCTGCAGAGGTCACAGAATCATGGAATGTCCTGAGCTGGAAGGGACCCACAAGGATCATCGAGTCCAGCTCTTGGCCTTGCACAGGACAGTCCTAAAATCCCACCATGTGCTTGAGAGCATTGTCCAAACATTTCTTAAACTGTGGCAGCCTTGGGGCCGTGACCACTGCCCTGGGGAGCCTCTTAAGTGCCCAGCCACCCTCTGGGGGAAGAAACTTTCCCTAATAACCCAACCTAACCCCCCTGACACAGCTCCATGTCATTCTCTTTGCGAGAGGCAGTGGCTGACTCAGCTCATGAGAACACTGCATGGGTTTCCTCTCCAGGCTTCCTGTTCTGCCTGGCTGCAGCACACTCCAGGGTTGCTCTCAGGGGTTTGTACAGCATTGTCGTTTTTAAACATGGCATTGGAGAGTTTTTTTCACTGAGACTTTTAAAATAAAAGAGTTTCTTAAAACACATCTCTGCAGCCATTCGTGTAGGCTTTTGATGTGTCCTCCTGCAGCTCTCCCCCCACAGCAGTCAGGCTGCCTTCAAACCAGAACCACTTGCAGTTATTTTCTCCAGCTTTTTTTTTTTTAATCACCAGACTCCCAAAGCTAATCTTACCAAGCATGTAGAGAAAGGCATTATGAAAACACACCAAGCTGCACTTCTTCCTTGTTCCGTAAGAGCAGCTCCCTGCATTCCAGCAACACTCACCCTTTAGCTGACCAGACCCCTGTGTTTAAGGAGCCAGAGCCCCGCTGAAGGGCTGCTCAGTTTGTAACTGCTGCGTGAATTTGGATGCCCCAAGAGGCCAGAAGTCCCACAGGACGGCAAACTGGTGGTTGCAGTTGTTTGGTGATCAGTTACTGGAACCAGGACAGGCGTGGGCAGAGCCTGGTGCCACCCCTGCAGGGACACAACAGGAACTTAGTGATGGCACAGCACCAGCTCTCACCCACATGGGATTAGCTCGGCAGTGTTCAGACGCTTCCGCCAGATCAGCACAGATCTCTGTGATCCAAACTTGCTCCTTACAGGCCACACAGCCCTAAAAGTATCTTCCACTGCTTCTTAAAATAACACTTGGTGTTACTTGAGTTCAATTCCACTTTCGGCATTAAGATCCCTTTGGGTCTCCCTGAAGTCACTGATCGGCTCAGATCACTACTCAGCTCCCACCACCATCCCCTTACAAAGGTAACCACTCTTTTAAAAAGGGCACTTGTTTCCCTCACCCTCTCCCCTTCCCACATCCCATGGCCAGCACAGCTGTGGTTAACAACTTGTCACCTCCTAAATGCAACCTCCACCACAAACCCTTCAGCAGAAACTTCCCTTCAGCCAGGGCTGTACAGCACACGGGAACTGCTGTGGTATTTTAGCACAATACTGTAATAGTTCCAGTTGGGGCACCACTGGAATGAAGTTCATTCCAGATTTCCAGTGTCTGTGAAATTAGTTTAATTAGTTTGCTTAACGTACTCAGGCTGCCACACCACTTCCCAAGCCCAAGGGCTGCAGGACCAGCAGTGACATCTCACTGTCCCACCCTGTGTTGGAGCTGCGGGATCACCCTTCTGCTTGCTCCATTAATCCCAAAACAAGGGCAGAACCTGGCAGTTGCTGGGAAACCAAGAGCTGGGTTTCAAATCCTCCCAGCTCAGCAACAACTGTAGTTTCCCATTACATGTCCACCCTTACACAACACCCACAGCTGCGCAACATCTGCAGGTGGGCACCGAGCTGCAGCCGGGTAGGGAACACTTATACAACCCAGGAAAACCATGGCTGAGGGATTAGCTACGCTTGCCAGACAAGTGGGAGCCTTGCCTAAGGCAGTTTTACAGTTCCTTTATCTGCAGAAACTACGTAATTATTGTTTATTAGAGAGCTGGAGTTGGGAAACGGCACAAACAGTTGTTCACGTAACCTGAGACACAAATTTTTGTGGATGCAACAGCTTTATTGGAGTGAACAAGTGCAGAGAAACTTTTTATTTGGATGCAACAACCTGCTGGTTCAGTTACCACCCCTCAGGCGCAGGACAAGGTGCAGGGTGGACTCCTTCTGGATGTTGTA